CCCCAAAACCCCAAAACCCCAAAACCCCAAAACCCCAAAACCCCAAAACCCCAAAACCCCGATAAAGGAAAGAGGAGTTGATATTCAGACAATTACAAATATATTTCGGACTTAATCTTACTTGATAAGAATGTGTGATATACTTAAACATAATGAGGTTTATATCGTCGATAACAGTCCTGAGTACCAGGATTCATTGGATATCAAGATTGATATCTACTCTGATGACGAATACGAGCAGCATCTTAGGTCTAAAGACACTCATTGATCTTCAAAAGAGGTTTCAACAAAACCTGTTATCTCAGTTAGTCAACCTGTCGAAAAGCAGGCTCCAACTTCCCTGGAACAAAGAGTCAATGATCGTGTCAGGAATGCCTACAGCAGACTCCTCCAAAGAGAAAGAATCGGCAATCCCTTAAGGAGTGAGCAATTCATCTCTTCAAAAGAAGAGGTTCTGGAGTTTATGAAAGTTCTCTCAAACGGGGCAAAATGTACAAATGTTAGTATTGCTCCCCCACCATCAGAGGTCGTGCAACCAAAGAGAAAGAGAGGAAGACCAAGAAAGTACCCTCTGAAGGAAAAGCCTGCTCCTAAGAGAAGAGGAAGGAAGCCTTCAAAACCAAAGTTTTAAATAATTTCGAATCAGGCGAGTATACAAACATTCTCGAAAATTAGTTTGAGATACTAATTCAGCCCAACACATTTTATCGTTTAAAATTTTGGTGTTTTGCCAATATTTCGAACACATAAATTTGTGGGCTGGATATTCTACAGTATCGACTCTAACGAAGCAACGGGAGTACCAAAGCCTGTTAACATAATTTCTTAATAATTCTTAACTATAACTCTCTCCTGGGCATCATACAGGGATCCTGAACGTTCAGGATTTCAGTCAAAATTCATTTAAAATCTAGGCAAAGGTAGGACTAAGGTAAGATGATGAAGCACCAACCAAGAAAGCACCAAAGCCGTCTCTTTTTGGAAATGAATCTTTCAGAGTAAAAGTCTACTTAAAGTGGTTAATAGAATCATGAATCTTTTAGAGTTTATTAAGAAGGCCAATTCGAAACTATCTTATCGTTTCAAGAAGGTCACAATAGCTCTCATAAATAGAGGGTATGTTACTCCGTTCCTGGATGATAACTCTATACCAAATTTTGTCATGGTGGTTTAGATCCTTTTTAAAATTTACCATTAACCCATACTCGAAACTTGATCTTAGCCAGACTAGAAACAGCCGTACTAATTTGGCATATTTTTTGTTAAAACTTTGAGTACTTATTGTGAATGCTTTAATGTAGCCTTTAACTCTCTAAAATTTAGTTTTAGCAGCATATGTTCAGATTATTGGGTTTTTAATACTAAAAAGTTCCAAAGTCTTTGCCAACTGTTCATATATAGGTGAACAGGTGCTTCTGATAGGTGCTCATTAGTCTACCCTTCCTAAATGAACCTTCCACTTTTAGTATTGACTCTAGGAGCTTGTCGGAGGTCTGGTAATATTTTTGAAATATTCTTTCAAATTTCGAATCTTTTTATCACATATTGTCGAATGCAAGGCTGGCCTGGATAGGATTCGGCCTCTTACTTATAGGATTTCTTAGAGTCTTTATATCAAAAACTCCTACCACAACAGTCTACACTGCCAACAGTATCCATATTAGTAAGGTTTATGCATATAACGATGTTCTTCCCAATATTCATCGAACTTGTTAATTTCGAGATTTCCTGTTAAATTTGTCTTCACGATCTTTATTTCTTGGATAGTAATGCAGCTGTGAAGAGGTCAGAATCAAGTTATCACTACTCCTGCAGATGTCTAACACTTAATGCTTTATTTTAGTATACTCCCTTCCACCCGAAGATTTCTGTGAACATATTGAATTAAGGATCTGCCAAATTTCATGATGCCTCCATTCCCAGTACTGGGAAAATTTTTGAGTGAAGGAGAGCATAATTTGTAGTGGGCTCTAATCAACTCTTTACTACTCATCTTCTAACCCATAAACAAGTATGGAAAATTATATCATTACCTTACTTTTCACTCTTACTAAATTCTTAAGCATAAGTTCTACACATTCTTTTGCCAAAAAGATTCGTGGCAATAGAAGGCAGCTTATGAAGTCCTATTCAGATGAAATGATTACTGAAAATTAAATGATTCATAACCAAAAGTCTAGAGGCTTTAACAGTGGAAATCTCAGCTTACAAAATCTTTTCCAAGCTTAGCTACAGCTTTGCAATATAATGAAAGCTTCAGGTTTTCTCATGAGATCTTTTTCTTCATCCTTAAAATTTTCTTCACAGTAGAAGACGTTGCTATCAAGGTCCCAGAAATTGGGAGACTTAATTCTTAATAATTAAGAGTGTTTAAAGCAATGAACTCAGATATCTTTAGCTACCTTGGGCGAGATCTCGAATGGATCTCTTCTATAACATAACCAGACTCATGAATCTCTTCCATGCGAATGTCAGGTAGATGGACTTTTGAGAATAATAATTTTAGGCATAAGAATTTAACCTAAATTTTTGTGAATATAATATCCAACCTCTTACCCTACCACGTCGAGGGGATCCTTCTGGACAGAAGAGTTCGAACAAATAAGGTGTGTAAAATAATTTCCAGATTAGGCTTAATTTTCCTGGGCAACAGAACCATTTTACCATGCTAAGGTTTACCATGCATCTTCCAGCTTAGTGACGGAATTTTAAGATTCGGAAAAATAAGTTAGATGAGTGTCTCTCCCAGGCCTCTCTGAAGGGATCAAGCTGCTGTAATTTCTTCCTGGAATACTATCTAAATTTTGTATGTTCACTATATTGAAGTGGGCATAAAATCCTGCATGCTCGGAAATAGGGCCCAAATGTTTCTTGGTTATTCCGGGTGAAGATAAAGATGAAATAAATTCGAAATTTCCGTACTCCTTCAACGTGAAAAGTGAATCGTTGAATTTTCTAACAGAGTTAGAGACCATGCTCATCTTTGGCAACATATCGACAGTTTTTCTGACGATGAGCTTAATCAGGGGGAGGTTATATTTCGGAAAAATTCTTCAGCGAAAATTTTTAATCCCAGTTATTAAAATTGATCGTTTCAAATGTAGCGAAAGCAGTCCTTCAGTGCTTGGTTAGCAACATAGAGAAATTTAATTATCTGGAAATGACATAGAGGTTGTGGGTAGACTCTTTCGAACTTAAGGGATACGATTACACTAAATTAAGCAATTTCATTTATTTGCATACTAAATGAGGATGATACGTCATTTCATGACTATTAAGTGCCTAGGAATCCCTTAATATTATCCAGACTTAATCTTTCCATCCCACAGTAGTAGGTAAACTAATAAAGACACTCAAGGTTTGGTGGTTGAAGAGGAATGGACAGATTCTTCAAGGAAATAATCATATTTCGCCAGATAACTTTTCAATCAGCAGCATATATTTTAGATAGCATGAAAAGTTTACAGCATCAGCGAGAAGCAAAAACTAGCAAAAAGAAAGCTTTCAGAGATACATTAAATCCTAATGGTTGCTTATAATACTTAAAAATCATGAATCTTTAGCCATTTTCGGCGTTGGTGACCTCAATACTTAATTTTTATTAAGGGGTTTTGGGGTTTTGGGGTTTTGGGGTTTTGGGGTTTTGGGG